TTAAAGGGGTCATATGATGGGATTTCATTTTTTCCTTTCTCTTTGGAGTGTTACAAGCTCTTGGTGCATAAAGAAGATCTGTAAAGTTGCAAAGACTAAAGTCTCAAATCCAAAGAGATATTCTTTATAAAAGTTAAGAGTCAGCCACACCCCCCTAAAACGGCTCGTTCGAACACGCCCCCACATATCTACCTCACTATGTGGGAAGATTTGCATAACGCCGCCCAAATGTTCACGCAAAGAAAGAAGGCGTAACTTTTATTCTCACTGTAGTATTGTTGCCGCTGCCGCCATGTCCTGAAGACGCTGTGTGCTTCGTTGTGAAAGCGAAGCTACTTTGTTTGGTCTTCCAAAAGAGGATGATATCCGCTTCGTCATGCCTAGAGCTGATCTGTGCTGGTCGCTGAGGGAATACATCAATTTATTGCTGTGGATCGCCGGATTGGCTTTCACCGTTTTCACCGCTCCTTTGCCGGGACCGCCGTTCTCGACCCCGCCGCCTCAGCTCACTCTTGCCCGGCTTCAGCTCAGGCTAAGCCGGGGCTTTCGCTCATGCTAGGCCGCTGTGTTTTTCGTTGTGAAAGCGAAACTACTTTGTTTGGTCTTCCAAAAGAGGACGATATCCGCTTCGTCATGCCTAGAGCTGATCTGTGCTGGTCGCTGAGGGAATACTTCAACTTAGTGCTGTGGATCGCCGGCACATTTTATGGAGGACTGTTTACTGATCCTGGGAGAGTTACGTTAGACTAAAATGGCGGCAGTTCTGACTCACGTAAGTACGTTTTCTTTTTTCATTTGCCACTGATGATTCAAACGCGAGTTTTGAGCAGTGTAGAATAGCATTTGTTGTTTGTCATTTCTCTGATCACAAATGCAGACATGGTTTTATGTTTACGCGGCGCGATGCAATGCAACGCAACGTGTAAAAAGACAGTATAAGTCATTATAATCTGTAATTATGTCCCCACTGGATGCAACAAATGCCTGGTTTGTAATGGGTTTTAATGTTTTTGTGCTCCGGCTGGGACACGCCATCACAGTATGTGAGGGGCGTAACATTTCCGTCTCAC